GATTAAGTGACTCCAGTTATGAGCAAACAATGAACAACGTCAAGTGTGATACAAGTAAGACTTTATTAACTACATAAACACTTAAACTAGTCTAACATACTACATAAACACATTAAATTATACCTAATGTATCAATTAATAAGACTAAATTTGAATACTTGCACGTCTCATCTGTCTGAAAGAGAGGTTTGATGCAATCTGAAGGTCCAAGTTGATCTTTGCTGAAGTTGGTTGATGAAAAATAACCAGTTTGAGTCAGAGAATCTTGGTGAATGGAAAAGTCAAGGCCGAAGCCTGGCACATACTTAGGGGGTTGCAGAAGTGTTCTAGCTCATGCCTTCATCTTAGAATCTAACCGAACCACCGACTCTGGGCGGTTCACATGGTGTGAGGCCTTTAAGGTCAGAGAAGATCCCCGCCTCTCAAGATGGGCTTGTCCAATGAGAAAGGCCGGTATCCCAAGTGGGAGTTTTGAGATACTGGGGAGTTTTTATGACCCTTTGTGTGAGGGCATGGTAATTTGCAAATGGAACTTGAATCGAAATTACTAAAGATTCTCAGGACACTAATATATTGCCTATGTACCAACATATAATATACACGCTCGTTTAGATCATCAGAAGGCAAATTAATAGATACTAAACATGGTAGGATTACATATAGGCAAGATGACAGGAATGGGTTCCATCGTAAGCATGCATAAAAGAGTAATAAAAATATCAAAGACAACATACACCATGACCTGAAGGATATGTGTGTTCATTCAAAGAAAGGTTTTCCTATGAATTAATTAGTAGAAAAGTCCATTTCTACTGTGCATTGTGTCTCTTGCTATGGAAAATGCAGTGATTTTCCCTGCTTTGCATTCCTTTAGGCAATAAACCCAGTGATATCAGGGTGATAAAGGCATGAACAAGTTTCTCCAAGTCTTGACTGGAAACAAAACATCACATTCTTTGAATGTTTTTGAGATGATAGTATGCTGATTTAGTTACTGCTTTGACATGACTACTGAAACTAAGGACTGTCTCCAGAATCACACAAAGATTCTTGACTTGATTTTTAGTTGTTTGACCCCTAGATTCAAGGTATGCATTCACCTTGAGAGCTTCATCTTTGTTTCCAAATGCAATGACTTCAGTGTTCTCCTTGTTTAACTGAAGAAAGTTCTGGCACATCCAACTGTTAATTTCAACAATGCATTGGCAGAGGGAGTAAATGGGACTGTAGTCATTTGGAGATAAGGCTAGGTAAATCTGGGTGTCATCTGCATAGCTGTGAACGGCAATTTGGTTATTTCTCATTATTTGACTTAGTTGGAGCATATACAGGCTAAACTGGAGCGGTGCAAGAATTGAGCCTTGTGGGACTTTAAGTGTAATTTTCCATTAAGATCGCCCTTAGGTTTCCCTTACACTTAAGGGTGTTGCATAAAATATCCCTTAAATGTTACTTAAGGGTTTCGGTGAAACGTCATAAACCCTTAGAATTTCTCTTAATTATCCCTTAAAACCCATTAAGTGTTGCATAAAGCCCCTTAACTGTCAATTTCCTAAGGATAACATAAGGTTTGGAAAATGTCACCTTAAGTGTACCGTTGAACAGTAGTTTGTTTAACGGCAAAACCTGGGTCACTGTCGTGAAACACTTAACAGTTTGTAATGAAATTAACTCATTTGTAATTGTAGGGAATTAATTATTATTAATTAATTCAGGTTTTGAAAGGACTCAGATCTGAAAAAGTCGAGGTCCACCTGATTAAACTGATTTTTAATTTAAATGGTTTACACCCTATCAGCTACTCGGTCAGCAAGAAGTTAACGTCAGTGTATATTACCAATTGAATATGTATTTTCCTGGCCACGGTCAATACAATTATTATAAGTAAGCTATTATAGTAATTATTATAAGTAAGCTATGAGCTAGGTAGCAAGGATCTTTTTGGCAAAAGTTTTAACCTTGAAATTATATGACACCAACAATGATTCTTTATAAATGAAACATGAATTTTATTGGCTATCCTAGATTACATCAAAACTAAGCTAAAACACACAAACACACAAAAAAAAGTTTCTTTAGAATGAGAGTTGACGGAGTTTCATAGTTCTACCTCGTTTCACGAGTAATTTAAATTCACCTGAGAGAATTCACAAAGCAGAGGATTTTAGATTATGTTTACTGCTTAAATTAGCTCGTTCACCAGTTCAGTAGAGATAAGATTTTGTTCATTTACTTGTGTTCTGCTGGGTTGACAGCTGAAAAGCTGAGTTTCCTGGTTTGGCTGCTTGAGGGAATTCCGTTGCTGATTGGTTGCTGAGGTGACGTCGGAATGACGTTTGAATGATGTCCTTTCAGGAAAGCCCTCCGGAGATTGGTTGGCTTCTTGATGACGTGGAGGCTTCAGAAGTTTTGCTACAGTCTGAGTTTGCGTTAAGTTCTTTGAAGATCGTGTTTCTCTGAAGTGTTTGAGTTTTGGATGACCGATCACTTTGATGGTAAGCGTGGGAGCACAAGTTGGGAGTGCTCTTAACACGGCGACAGGCGAGAGCAAGCAAGCAAATCTGTCCTGCATTGGGTTTTGCTCCGAGGCATAAGTCCGTCCCACGACGCGACCTTCTAATCGCCTTCTTGCAAGGCGGAGCATGCATACATTACCTTAACACGGCGACAGGCGAGAGCAAGCAAGCAAATCTGTCCTGCATTGGGTTTTGCTCCGAGGCATAAGTCCGTCCCACGACGCGACCTTCTAATCGCCTTCTTGCAAGGCGGAGCATGCATACATTACCCAGAGGCTCCAATTTATTATGTGGAGAAATGAAGATTTGCAGGTTTTGTTAATAACTTCTATATAGTGTCGTACAACATATACTGTTTGAAATAACAACTTTTCACTTATTTCAATATTCTGCAATTATCACAAGTTTCCATTCAATACTAAACTTCACTTATCTTACACACATTAATAACCTCATTTCATGGTTTATTTATGCTGAAGCCAGTCACGAAACCTACTGACATTCTGTAGCTTAAATGAATCCAGATGGGGGGGGTCAGTTCTTGTTGTCCTAGTGTTTGTCGACATCGGAAGTGGTTTGGTAAATCATTATCTCAGTGTTTTTTTTTTGTAAAGATAAGCAGAGCGAGACAGGAACTCATTTGAGAAAGTTGGCACCTGGGCTGACCATGATTCAGCTTTTACGACTCTCATAGTTGAGAAGAGAGGTTAGTTGTCTGATGGAATGCAGAGATTCCATCGTTCCTTTTGGTGATGTTCGCAAATGCCTTACAGGTTTCCTTTGCTAAGGGAAGTGTTTAAGGGATTTTATGCAACACCCTTAAATCATTCCCTTAGGTAAGGGGAAATCACGTCTTAAGTCTCATACTTAAGGGAAAAATGTCTCCTGGTTACGCATGTAACCCTGGTTCCCAGAGGGAACGAGACACTGCGTCGGAAAATGCTATGGGAATGCCTTCAGCGTGACCGTGCTCTGAATCACGTGTGTAATCAGTCCAATGGATGGGCGAGACGTCACGGGGGGGTGATGTAGCGACCAGGAAGCTTAAAAGCACGTGCGGTGGAACCTGCGTCAGCTTCTAGGGATGAAGCAAGTGCTCGCAGGGATGCCGGAAGTATGGCACTGAGATGCAGCATCTCGTTCCCTCGGGGAACCAGGGTTACATGCATAACCTGGAGACGTTTTCCTTCAGGAACTCGAGCTGCATCGGAAAACGCTATGGGAACAAGTACGCCCACGCTGCCAGACTTACAAATCCCTGCCTAGTGTAGAAGAGCACAGCTAGGGCGAGAGAACAGAAAAGCCCGGAGTGGGTCGCATATCTAGGTCATACAACCTGATGAACATTAGGGCCGTGGACCAACTCACAGCGTTGCAGATGTCCTGCATAGATACAGCTGCTAAAAAGGCCTTGGAGGCCGCCACACTTCTGGTAGAGTGAGTCTTGACCCCCAGAGGCAAGGGGAGATCAGAAGACTCCTAAGCAATGGAAATGGTATCCACTTTCCACCGGCTGAGGGTATGTTTCGTAGCAGCAAGACCTCTCTTAGGGGGACCGTAGCACACGAACAGTTGGTCCGCTGCCACAGGGCAGCTCTGTGGATGTATGTGTCCAGTGCTCACAGAGGCCACACCCACAGCTTCCACAGCTCCGGGCGGGGGTGAAAGATCGTACCCTCCGCCTGTGAGAGGAGATCCCTCCTAACGGGAATCTCCCATGGAAACCCGTTGATGAGGGAAATCAGGTCCGAGAACCATACTCGGCCTGGCCAGAACGGGGCTACTAGCAGTAGACGGACCCCGTCCCGGTGCACTCTCTCCAGAACTCCTGGGAGCAGAGCGATTGGGGGAAAGGTGTACAGACGAAGCCTCGGCCACGTCTGTACCATGGCATCCAGCCCAAGTGGAGCTGGATGAGTCAGAGAGAACCAGAAGGAACAGTGCGATGTCTCTCGAGTCGCAAACAGGTCCACCTGAGCCTGGACAAAAACTCTCCATATCTGCTTCACCACATCTGGGTGAATCCTCCATTCCCTGGGCCTCGGCCCCTGCCTAGACAGGATGTCTGCTCCCATATTGAGATGCCCAGGGATGTGGACTGCTCTCAGCGAGAGGAGTTTGCCCTGGGACCACACAAGGATCTGGTGCGCCTGCCTGTAAAGGTGGCGCGAACGCAGACCTCCCTAATGGTTGATTTAAGAGACCACCGCTGTGTTGTCGATGCGCACCAACACATGGCGACCTCTTAGGTGCGGGAGAAAGTATTTCAATGCTAGAAACAAGGCCAGCATCTCCACACAGTTGAAGTGCCAAGTGAGATGGTGACCGCTCCACAGAATGCTGGCTGAGCGGCCACTCATGACCGCTCCTCAACCGGTGAGGGATGCGTCCGTAGCTAGCGTTACGCGGCGACAAGGAGCTCCCAGCACTGGGCCCTGAGACAAGAACCAAGGTTTCCTCCACATGTCTAAGGCACGTAGGCAGCGCCGCATGACCTTGAGCATGCAAAGCGGGTTTCCCCTCGGGGAGAACCCCTTGGTCTTGAGCCACCACTGTAGGGGTCTCATGCACAGCAGGCCAAGAGATATCACATTGGACGCAGCTGCCATCAGAGCCAGCAGTTTTTGAAACTGCTTGACAGTAAGTAACAGGCCTTCTCTCACTCTCGCGACTGCAGTGAGGATCGACTTGATCTGAGCGGGAGACAGCCGTGCCTGCATCGTGGTCGAATCCCACACCACTCCCAGATAAGTGGTTCTTTGTAATGGAGGGATTCAGCGCTCTCGACCATCAAGCCCAGATTCCAGACAACCTATAACTCTGGACATCCTTACAAAATGCATCCAAAATCTACGCACAGGGTACCATTCGATCCATACCGCTCGTACCCTCAATGCCATGTTTTTATTGGCTTTCTTCAGTTTTCTGAGATGCTCAGAAATTGCAATAACCTCTAAATTCAACCCCAAACTCCATCCGACCATCTCTGATTTATCCATACTTGATAGCGAAACTATGGCTTACTTAGTTAAGCAAAGTAAGACAGACCAAGAAAGAAAAGGCCACTACATATACATTTTGAACCTCCCATCTCCAATTCAACCTTATCAGGCTCTCTTTGCTGTAGGATATCAGACCGAATCAGACAATCTAAGATTTGGTCAAAACATGGTTGAGGCACGAGGAGTCAAAACATTCCACAAGAGGCCCAAGATAACAGGATGTCATAAATCAGACCCGAGTACTAGCCAGTCTGAAGCAAGGCTAACAAACTCTTTCACAGAACAGCTTTCAACATTAACACAAAAGGAACACACTGATCATAACAACTCAGGAAGGAGATTGTCAATTTTGGGGGCAAGTTATCAAGAATAATGGTCAAAAGAGATGCACAGCGTGACCGTCACATGGAAACATGTGATAGTGATCACAAGCTCTTCGGATTGACTTTTCCCCCCACCTAAGACAAAGAACAGACTTTCAGAGATTCCTACAGACCTCTTTATCTCCGGTCTTCATGCATTCACAGAATGGCACGGAAACTGCCTTTCCATGCACCTAAATGACACTAAAAGGACTCGAGCAACTAATCATTGCTGCTATATATATCTCCGTATTATGTATGTAACCTACATGTGACTTATCAGGTCTTAATCATTTATTGTGAATGTATTTTTAATAACTATTGAATCGCTTAATGGTTCATACTCAGGTTTGGTATGTGTGAGTTTGA